ACAGCAATTATGCTGAGTCAGGCTTGATTTTTAATAATCTTTTCCTGTTAAATAAATAAATCAAATCAAATCAAATCAAGCTGAATAAACAGTAACTCAAATTGAAAGTTTCATATAGTCTAGAAAGTTATTCCTGAAGTACGACCGCATATTAGGGACATTTTGCAGATAAAAAATGGAGCAAATTTCCGCAAAAAAAATCTGAAATTTTTAGATTTCAGAAATTTGTTCATTAAAAAGTGCTTAAATCACATTACACTAAAGTTTCACAAATCAAATATATGTTCCACAAATCACACACTTTGTTTTAATGATTTTATAATCAGTGTAGAATAATCTAGTCCAGGTTTGAAGTGTCTGTGTGTTTTASTTTTTAATCTACAGCAGATTAAAGAGGCTCAAGGTAGTGAAAAAAAAGATGGAATCTCCCTTTAGCCATTAATGAAAACTTAAGTTTTTTTTTTTGTGATTTCTGACTTTACAATGTCAGAAAATATCTAGTATAAATATCAAAAGGTTTTGCCTTTAATCATGGAAATTTCTGAGTTTGATTTTCCTCTGAAATTTATGACTTTTCAACATAGAAAAAAAATCCTGTTTTTTTTTCTTGAAATTTTCTGAAATTAATGTCAGAAATTCTGGGGTTTTTGGTCGTCGTACTTAAGTGATGATTACTGAGACACAAAATAAAATAAARCAAAAACAAATAAGTGTTTCAGTAATTTAACCTGTAGACTGCATCAAATTAAAAAGAAACACAGAACTGWATAAATACACAACAAACARAACATGAAGCACTCAAACTTCTCAGGTAGCTGAGAAAATGAAGCTTTTTAAAGTGTTGATTATGTGACACAACTGCCTGCCATAAAACACCTCRGCTGCAGCTGAATCAAACAAGCCTCTGTGTGTTATTCTGCTCCAGCTCTGTGCTTTTAGTGTTAAAACCCACTTTTATTCACTGGCTGTTGCTCTTAGGATGTTTATTTTTATGTTTCTATCAGTTTTTTATGCTGTTCACCTTTTATCATTGAGTGTTTTTACTGTATTTTATTGCGCAGCACTTGTTTCTTTGGATGAGCTTTTAAAGGGTTTATAAATAAACTGGATTAAATAAACTGCGTGCACGCCCCCCAACGCTTGTCCCAAACAGTCACAGTACAAATACACGTACCGTTACATGCCTAATACGGAGTAATCTAACCTGGTACTCATGGCTGGTGGAGTCCAGAGGCTGCAGTTTGCACTGTAGGGAGTGGTACTGCCGGTCCAAAGGATGTTCATCACTCTCTGTGTTGGACTGGACCATTTTCACTGCGATCTGGATGTCACTCAGCGCCTTTCAAGAAACACAGCAGGGATTATTTATGATACGTCACGTCCAGAGGGATAAAAAGCAGATTTTAAAAGGTTTACCTCCAACAGAGCGATTTTTTCCTTCAGCTCCTCTTCTGTGCGGATGACTGGAGGAGTTTTCAACCTGTAAAAATGACACAACAGAATAATAATAATAATAAAAAAACTAGTGTTTCCTCCATATTACCGCCTCACCCTCCTCACCCAAAGTCATGGGGGATGCGGGTGTAAAACTGGTTGCAGGCTTCCAGCAGCTCCCGACTGCCGCCCTTCTTCTTCAGACAGTCCTCGATCTTCTTCAGGGCTGCGTAGCCGGCCCGGATCTGCTCCTGGGTCAGCTTCCCTGCAGAAAGAACCAACGTTGGAGAAATCCAAGCGGTGCGACGACAAAGTCGGACTAATTAATTAAGTTTTTCGAGAGGGCGCTGACCGAGAGGAGCTTTCTTGGTGTCGAACTTCATCTCCAGCACGCACTCCTCCATGGCTTTCAGGTCACAGATGAGCTCCAGGAGAGACTGAACCTTTGTGTGCAGCGTGGATGGCTTCCTTTTGGGCGCAGCATCCACTGCGGTTTGGTTCTCCTCCTGGAAGGAGAAAAAACAAAACAAATCCACAAAAGGTTTTGGCCACTTAAAAACTTTAAGAACTCCTGCAAACGGGTCCAGATGACAGAAAGCCACGCAGGCTTCGTGGTTGAGGACTTATGGTGCGTTCACACCGAACGCGATTTCAGC